TACACAGAGAGAGAGAGAGAGAGAGAGAGAGAGAGGCAGGCAACCAATCCTTGGAGAGGGCAGCTATTGACTAATCTATGGAGAGTAGCAACCATAGAGAGAGAGAGTAGAACTAATCCATAGAGAGAGAAGCCATGGAGAGAAGCTAGCAACCAATCCAGAGAGAGAGAGAGTAGCAACCATATTCTAATATTTCACTCGCCAGTTGAACCAAATAAGTGGAAATGGCACAAGATCTTCCATTATAGCAATAATCACAGGATCATCAAATAAACTTAGATTGGTTCTAGAATCCAAAATTTCCTAAAAACAAAATAAAATATACAAAATTTATCAGCCGCAAACTCCACCATGAGAAAAAATACATCCTCAGAATTGAACAATTAAAATGCTTTGTCCTATAAATAGAGCCTTAATTACTATCATCACTTATCAATAAAATTTTACAACTAATTTGTATGATATTTATCCGAGGGACTACTCGACTGACTTGGTGGTTTTGTAGTTGTTTACTAGCTGCATTTGTACATCCTGAGACACTGGCAAGTGTTCCTTGTATTCCATTGTAAATTCACCTTTTCCCTGCACAAACAACCAGCCCTTAGAGAAGAAATATATTGATAAATGAATACCATCTCAAAGATTCAAAGTGTGGTTTCACTTTTCGAGGTTGTAATGTTTTGGATAACAATTGGGTTTGTGAACTCATTGTTTGTTTGGATTGAGAGAGTGACATCTTAATATTTTATGGATTGCTTGGTTCGACTTTGAGGTGAGTTGCGATAACACGTCTAGGTTTTTCTTGTGGCGTGAGACTTCTTGTCTCCTTTTGGGAATATTTCATTCATTTTGAGATGGCCAATACGATCCTGAGAGTTTAGGTCTTGGTAGGTATGTGATGAGGGTGAACATTGTGGATCCATCACCTACAGGTCCCAATCTTTTGTTAATTTACACATTCTCGGTTTGAGTGACTTACTTGGGAGCTATGGTTCAGTGAGGAAATTATTCACTTCTGTTTGGTATAAATGTGATCAGGTGTTTGGATCCATGGAAGATAGAGAAGATCTCAACTGTGCAGTGGAGCTGGCAATGATGGGTTAATATTTGGTTGCTTGATGCATGATTCCATGTGAATAGCATAAAGGCCATACATGCATGCACGGCTCAAGAGGTATGAGTGGGATGACATGAACACTTCAAGCTTCTCATGCATGCACAAGTGGTACATATGTAGAGAGCAAGAGAGTCAGAGAGTCTAAACATGGACATTTGAACAAGGCAGGAATGGCATCTATGCATGCAGGGTGTGTGCAGGCTTTTTTTTTTTGGAGGGGTGGGTGGGAGGGTGGGAGGTGGAGGAGTGCAGGTGACAGGTTGTTGTTAATTTGGTTTTCCAAAAACATCAAATGAAAATAATATAAAAAGAAGCAGAATTGAGAGCTTCACCTGGGTCATCGAGCGAAGGGCAGTAGAATATCCAAACATATTGTTCAGAGGAACCTGAAATTCATAAATGAAGAAATCAGTCTTGCATTTATAACCTAGAAATGGAAAAGCAAGGAAAAGTATGGTATCAACTCACATGAGCAGTGATTACAGAGTCATCTCCCTCCTGATCATTTCCGACAATCATACCTTTTCTCCTGATATTCAACAATTAGACGTAGACACTTAGTTGATGGGAACTTAGAAAGCATCTGCTATCATATAAAAAATAAAATTTAATGACACCCCCACAAAGAAAATGGCATGAAAAGACTCACTTATTAATATCACCAGCAACGGCACCCTGGAACTCTGTTGGCACTTTCAACTCCACAAGCATGGTGGGCTCTAGTATAACAGGCTTGGCAGCTCCATAACACTGTTTGGAAAACAAATAAAAAAATCAAACCAATGGAACATCAAAATACAAAAAGCATAAAGAAAATCAAATATCACAATACACAAAGGATGAAGAAATTAAGAACGACGTTTCTCAAAAAAAAAAGAAATTAAGAAAGATGTACAATCCAAAGTGATTATCAACAAGCATAAGCCTCCATTCACAGGAGAAGAGACCCACCTGCCTCAAAGCATATATTGCTGCCAATTTGAAAGCGAGCTCACTGGAATCCACTGTATGAGATGCACCATCAGTCAAGACCACCCTTATGTATTCAACTGGATGCCCAATCAATGAGCCACTGTACATGTGATGACAATACAAAAGATAAAGTTAGTTTAGAGAGAGATTTGATGAGAAGAAACATACAAAACCTTTACGCAAAAAAAAAAATCCGCCAATAAGAAACGAGGGAAGATAAAAAAAAGAATCATTTCAATATTCCAGCTTGATGAAATCAGGAAAAGAGCAATTCTTACGAGTTGCATGCTTCTCTAAAACCCTTTTCAATAGCAGGGATGAAGTTTGATGGTACAGCTTGTCCAATAATCATGTTCTCAAATTCAAACTTAACAGGAGATCCCTCTGGCAGTGGCTCAATATACCTGCTCCAAGAAATAAATAAATAAATAAAAGCATTGATTTAAAAAGCAATAAACAGGTAATAGTGCACTGCACAGTACCTCAAGCAATCAAAATCAATTGTTTCCTCATTAGAAGTGAACTTTTGAAAAACTAGAAAAGACAACTTTAATTCTCATTTTCTCATTAATCATAATTCACAATTGAGAGTATTTTACAATTCTTTCACAATGAGAAACAGCTAGCACAACTTTCTGCCTCTCACTTATTGTGAATACATGAAATGGTCTGCTGATGTAATATGACATCTCTGTTATTGAGGAGAACTTCGTAATAGTCCATAAAAGGGCAGAACCACAGAAAGGTTATCAAGATGGAAGAGAAGCCACATTTTTTTGATGGAAGAGAATGCCACTTTTCAAGATGGAATATTAAGATTGCAGCCCTCAATCAAGAAAATTGGCTGACACATGAGGCTTACCAAATTAACAAAATGAGTAAGGGAGTGGTGCAAACCATGGAATTAGTTTCTAATTCACAATTTGCGAATAACAGCATCCAGAACCAAGTGAAGAACTTCACATGCATCCTATGGTGCTATTTGTTGGTTTAGAGGTAAAGCAAGTACTTCAGACACATCCCAAGGTGCAATTTGTTGGTTTAGAGGTGAAGTATGAAAAGAACATGGTGTTCAAAGTCGAGAGAGAGAGAGAGAGAGAGAGAGAGAGAGAAGGGGGAGGGATACTGCAAGGTGAATTGGATGTCAGGTACTTACCCACATACTCTTCCGTACTGTCCTTGCCCTCCACTTTGCTTTTTGTGTAGATAATCAAATTCGGCACGCTGTGTGACAGTCTCCCGGAAATTTACACGGGGCTTTCCAACAGCAGCATCCACCTTCATAGGACAAAAGATATGTCAAAAAGAATGTGTTTAAAACTCAAAGGGCATCAAATAAATCAATAACCACATTTCAACCACCTTATATTCCCTTCGAATGCGTTCAACATAAATGTCCAAATGTAGCTCCCCCATGCCAGAAATTATAGTCTGCAGGGTTAATACTATGACATGTTAGACCATGAAAAGGTAGTTTGATAGTTCAAGATGCATTAGAATTGACCCATCATAAAGATAAAGAAATGATCATACCTGACCACTTTCAACATCCAAACCAACACGAAAAGTTGGGTCCTCTCTTTGAAAGCGATTCAAAGCTTTAGAGAACTGACTTGCAGTTTAAAAAATAAATAAAATGTTGTTAGTTGATTTATCCTTATGAGGTGTAAAAGAAACGAGAATGTTTGTTATTGGGAGTACATAAATGTTCTCTAGAAACTCTATATATAGAATGTCAAGGCAATAAAGGGAGTCGTTCTACTTAGCAAAATGGAAACATAAAAAATCATCATCATCATCATCATCTTCTAAGCCTTATCCCAACTATTTGGGGTCGGTTAAATGGGAATATAAAAAATAATATTTTAAAAAAATAAACAAGAACAGTCGCCATGGGGACCACGTACTTGTCCTCCAGAATCTTTAGATACAGGTGAAACAGCCAAAGACATCACTGGCTCAGGGACATTCATCGAAGTCATGGTGTATCTCACAGACCCATCGGTGAAAGTATCACCTGAGGCAACACAGCCAAATATATCAGATCCTCATGAAGAACCAAAGCACGAAAAAAGGAGCCCCTAAGCAAGATTTGAAACAAATGGCCGAGGGTCTGTACCTGATGCACAATCTACACCAAATACAGCGACAATTTGGCCAGCATGTGCCTCTTGAATGTCCTGTGGAGAACAGATTTGAAAATAGTCATGCATAATAAAACCATCAAATGTCAAAACCAATCAATTAATAAACAACTCAATCGATCATAATGGAAGTATTAACATTAACATCCCAAAGAAGTATTATCATAAACAATCTAATAATTAAACACGCACCATGCATAATAACACCACTCAAAATTAAACATCAATCAATAAATTAAAAAAATCCCTCAATCAATCAGAAAAACAGCAAAAAAAGAAAAAATAGAGAAACATTAACAGGTTCGCAATTAAATATAGAGAAAACTTTACATTCTTATGAAAAGGAAAAGTGAATTGCCAAACCCAACATTCCATACATCGATGCAGTTTGTAACAGACAAAAAAATAACACATCACTATGCATAAACTAACCTCCATTTCATCTGAATGCATACGAACAAGCCGAGGAACCTGGAAACCACATATCAATATAGTATAATTAGTTGCTGATGTATATATAACTTTCATCATCAATTTCAAATTCAGTCATACTAGACCATCAAAGCATGGCCATACTCGTTATGTTTCAATGCAGGATGATAGTAGCTTAAGTTCCTAATAGTGGCACATTTTCGAACCACACAATTTCTAAAGGAAAGAGTGTTTTCTTAATTAACTTCCATAGTATCTGAAGGGCAGATACATTAATTGTCAAATATTGAAAAAACAAAAGCAAGCATATTTTTCATGCTTGCCTGGATAGCCCAAACATTAAACCAAGCATAATCAACTCTGACACAAAAAAAGGCCAAAAATTATGTATATGCAATATAAACTAGATGAGATTATTGAAGAACAAAGTAGTCGAGTAATAGATTTGGTGGTCTAAGCATGTGAACTTAGGATTGCAATCCAAATATTATCGGCTAGCTAAAAGGCTCTCAAGGATCTCCATAAATGACAACAATACATACCAAGGATATCAGAATGATAGTTGTGAGGTGGCTATCTTCGGTCCCCTCACCAACAATGAACCAATATTATTCACATAGATGTGAGTGGGGAAACAGACAGTCGTATTCTAAAATTGTGGATACAAAGAATTCAACAAAGCAGAAGGCTACTCTATACACATAAAAATTGCAACCAACAAAGGTCACTAGAGATCTCTTTAAGAGTAGCTAAAATTTCAGCAAGTGCTAGAAATAAGCTTGCAATGAACCAGCCTAATTATGTGGAGGGTCAGAGAATCGTCCACAAACGCCAGAGCAACTGAATTAATGTCTACAGACTACATTAAAGTGAATCTCCTCAAGGAACAGAATGACTCAATAATCCTAAAACCGGTAACATCCAAAAGTTAACCATAAACAATAGTTCGCCAACAGGACTCAAATGTGGTTTCTTGAACCATTGAGTCTAGTACTCTAGTCAACACAGATGAAATAGAACCCTTTGGTTCAATTGTTGAATCTGAGTACACTTCCAAACCAAAAACTGAAAGCATATCGAACCAGCCAAAATTTCCTACAAAGTCCCACTTCCCGTACATACAATCTAAATTTCAATACCATTACATAACTAAATGTAATTTTCACAATGATGCTTACTGAAAAGGGCCCAGAAAACACAATATTGTGACTTCCGATAAACAAAAGAATAAAAGCAGTAATGACTGAAACATTCTGCAACATTAGGAAATGAAAACTCTGCCACTTGAAATGTACAATAGTACAGGAAAAATTCAAAAAAGGACTCATATAAATAAAGGGCCATGCCTCCAATATGAACTTACTTTGATCTTCTTTCCGGTGTTAACATTGACTATAAAGTCACCCTTTCGAATAGTACCCTCATAGATTCTGCCATGAAAACATACACCATCTTAGCAACAACATAAAGTTTCAAAGAGTTCATGCATTAGGTTTAACAAGAATTAAGAAATAAATCACAAACTCCATTCCAAAATGAATTCTGGAAATTTGTCAGTAGATATACCTCAAATAGGTCAACTGACCAAAACGTCCTTCTTCCAATTTGAAAGCCAATGCAACAAGAGGTCCAGTTGGCGACCCAGACAACATGACCTGTCAAGAATAGATCCGGAAGTATAACTTTTAGTTCCTATGAAAGTTCTAGTTAAAGATAGAAATGCAGACTTCGATACAAGATATCCAGGAAGGATATTTGAAACTGACCTTCTCCTCATTCTTTGTTTGGTCCAAAGCATAATTACTAACTTCAATGGGGCAAGGCAAATAGTGAAGCACCCCATCCAGGAGGGTTTGCACTCCCTGAGAAAGTGTATATTCGAACCAAAGAAAGGGGTTACTTTGATTCAACTGAGTCTATTAGTTCATAAAAATGAATTGTAAAAAATAAAACTATTGTGCACTAGAAATCTTTATATGAAACCAATTTGATAAGAAAAAAAACAGTGTTTATATCAAACACATACATATGAAAACTGAGAACTCTAAAATTAATTACGTTCTAAGTCCAGAGAATAAATCATAGATAACAGGACTGCCTAGTACAGGAGAGGTTTTAGAGTGAGAAAAATCAAAGCGAAAGCTAGGCTCCAATTTTATGTTCAAGGACGTTACCTTATTTTTGAAAGCGCTTCCCATGAAAACAGGTACAAAATTGCGAGCTATTGTAGCCCTGCGAATGGCGGCCTAATAGAGAATCAAAAAAGGAAAAAAAAAAAACAATGGGTGAGTCTAATCTCAATGAAGAAAGGTCCATTAAATGCATAAAACAAACCATGCCACGTCCAATACCATTATTTTGAGCCAGATATAGATGCAGATAAGCAAGATGACAATGATCACAGCAGTTCAAGGGGATAAAAGTAACGGTGTCATCTAACATACAAGAGACAAGATTCATGTTGATATCAAATTTTTGGCTACAATACAAAATTATGAGGCTGCTTATTTCACAACAAACCTCCAGGTCACCAGGTGATATGGGATCATCATTAAGAAACAATTCAGCCAGTTTGTCATCCACATCAGAGACAGTTTCAATTAGTTCACGCCTTTTTTCTGCAACTACAGCCTCTAAATTGGAAGGAATGTCTGAAGTGGCAACTTTCTCTCTGCAAAGTGCAACACAGAGAATATACAGATAATTTAAGAAGATATTAAAGTACCGTAGCTGACAGATCGATTGCTGAAATTCAACGAATCAAGAGGAAACAAAGTAACAAACCCATTGGCACCATGAAAGAAAATTGCTTTCAATTGTACAAGGTCTACAAGACCCTGAAACTCTTCCTCCAATCCTATAGGAACTTGCATCGCAGCACTATGATGTCGGAGCTTAGACCTTGCCTAAAAATGACAAGAATAAGCAGGAGCATCAGCAACTGATACTTTATAAACAGAAACTCTCATTTGGCAAAATAAAATAAAAAATCTCTTTCAATCCCTGTAACTACAAATTACATAGCTTCCAATCCATAAAAGGTCCAATAACACAAGATAGAACCCAAATTCAATTTGTTTGTTTCTTCTTTTTGCCACCTTCTATAACAAAAGGAGGAGTTAACAACCTGGTTAAGAACCTTCCATGGATCAGCTCCCATTCGATCTAGCTTGTTGATAAATGCAAGCCTTGGAACTTCGTATCTTCTCATTTGGCGGTCCACAGTTATCGATTGACTCTGAACCCCACCAACACTACAAAGAACAAGTATGGCTCCATCAAGGACACGCAAAGCTCTTTCGACTTCAATCGTGAAATCCACGTGACCTGGGGTGTCTATTATGTTGATCTGCATCAACAGAACCATCAAATACTTGGTGGAATTTCATGCGAAATTGTAGCTCTAAACCCAAAAGCTTCAAAACTTAGCAATTTCCACAATTTAAACTAAATTTATTCATAAGACGCTAAATTTTAGCTTGGGTAGCCAGCATTCAGCAAAGATTTCAAAAAAAAAAAAATTGGAAAAATTCAAAGGAGAAGCAACAAATTTGCTTATGTATTGAAACAATGAAAAGCTCAACCAAATGGTAAACTTCTTCCAATCAGCAGTGTCTCCCTAAGTTATCATTTTAAATGCAAATTCTATAGCAAGAGCTTCTCTAGAACATAAAACATTAGCTTGAGCCTTGAAGTAAAACACTAACAATAAAGTAGTGCTACCCCCAACTAGAATTTCCAGATAAATGATGCAATTCCATTTGTTAAACAAGAAAGAGAAAGAAAAGAAGGGGATGGATGGGGAAACTAGTGAGAGTTTTAGAAGCAATATGTAGAAAGAAGATGGGGGGAGAGAGAGCGAGGAAATGGGTTTCTTTCCTCTAATCATGTCTTGACATTGAAAACAGATGGTCGTTGATAACATGTACTTAAAAGAACTATCATGATATAGGTTCCTTTTATATAAGCCACACATAGAGTATGGGAGATGACAAGTTTAACCTAAAACATGAAAACTACAGTTGGGCATCAGTACACAGTCAAGGGGGATAAAGAGAGGAGAGAGAGACCTGGTGGTTGTTCCATGTGCAATAAGTAGCAGCCGACTGTATAGTGATGCCCTTTTCTCTCTCTAGGTCCATCGAGTCCATCTTGGCACCGACGCCGTCGCGCCCTCTCACCTCATGGATCTCATGAATTCGGCCCGTATAGAATAAAACCCTCTCTGTAAGTGTCGTCTTCCCTGAATCAATGTGAGCAGAGATACCAATATTCCTTATCTTCCCCATCAATTCCTTCGTTCTTTCTTCCTCTTCTTCCTCTGCAACCTTCCTACTGGCGCTGGGTCTAGCCAAACCAGCCATGCCTCTTCGCTGAAACCAGACAAGGACCCTCTCCTCGAGCTCTCTCTGAGAAGAAATGGCGCCGAAATTCTTCTTTGCATGTGATCGGACATTTCCGGCGAGCTCCACAAGGATACACCGAGCTGCCCATAGAGACCTCGTCATTTCTCTCTCTAGACGAGGTTCAGTACTTTCTCTATCTTATACCTTGCTGGTTTAATGGTTTCTCTCTCTCCTCCACCGGTGCTGGCGAGGAGTCGAGAGTCCACTTCCACTTCGGCCGCCGGTGTGAGTTTCCGTTAGGCGCCCTAGTAACTCGAAGAGAGCGAGTTTCGGCTTCCCGCCCCGCCCCGCCCCGCCCCGCCCTAGTACTAAGAAGTGAGAAAGATAGAGAGAGGCTACTTGAGCGTGTGGGTAAAACCTGTCACCCACTATTCGGCATATAAAGACTTATACCCACATTTTTATAATATCGGTCGAGCACAAATTAATTTTGGATCCGGCTTATAATCACATTACAACATCTCTTTTACACCCACATTTCTATAGTGCCGGTCGAGTACAAAATAAACTGGTTTTTTAGCCCATTTTAGTGCTAGACGGGACTGGCACTTTTAAATCAATGATGCACATTTTTTATGTTGAATCAAATGTTTTTCAGATTGGACTGAATCTTTGGTCCAACACCAAAAAAAAAAAAAATGGGTGACATGAATATCGGTTAAATGGGAGTATTTTGATATATATATTTGACTTCTTGCAGCAACAAATGACAACATAATTGGGGTTCATATATAATATTAGTGTTGGGGAGATCCAATTGTACTAAAAGATGAAATTCCGGTATCGGAAAGCCTTGCGATGATATGAAAATCTAATTTTACTTTGAATTATGAAATTTAAATCTCAAAAACATGTTCAGATCGAGTAGGTTCTCATGAAATTTGGTGGTCTACATAATGTATAACAACACGTGTTGTTTTCAAGGTTCGAAATTCTTTTTTTTCTATATTCATTCATCTTGGAGTCGAAAAGTTCAATTAGAAAGTTTTATAGCGACAAAACATTTTTTTTAGGTAGACTTTTGATGTGCACCATACTTGTACATTAAGGTAACGTCCTGTTTTTCATAGGAAAGTGAGAGAATCCCTCACTTTCCCTTCCCTGGGCATGCTGTGAAGCTTTGTTCTTCTTCTTACAACTAAATGTAATGTAGCATGTTTATTTTATAGCATATGGAATAAATATGTTATTGCATAAACGGGTTGCATAGAGAATGATGCACGTTTCTTCTCTCGAGTCTCACAAACGCTTCTCATTACGAATACTCGTATATTCTTATATTTTGTGTTTAAAAGATCGCCCGAGCTGGGACTCTCTCAATTCAACTCCAATTTGAGACGGCTGATTCTAGGTTGAAACTTTGAAGTCACTCAAGTCCGATGATATTTTCAAAGTGTTGAAATTTTTTTTATTAAAAATTGCTCAGTCTATCTGGGACCCACTCGAGCTAGATGACCGGCTAGGGTTTGGGCTCCAAATGAATTAGAGCTTGTGCCCAAATTTAGACTTTTTATGCAAAAAAGATTTGGGCAAGGTTTTCTATATTTTTTCTACAACATAGAAGAACTATCCTCCCCTTAACATCCAACCGTCTAATTTTGATAAAGATAGCTACTCATTGTTTGATCTTAGATCCGACGTCTCAAAGTATTTTATTTTTAGTTTTTCTTATACAAATTGTAAGAATATGAAATTTGGTACATGTCACCTTCTCATTGGGGCACACCTCTAAAAAATATTAATTTTGTTTTGATAAATTATAATGACTAAAATACCCCTTGAAACTTTCAGGGGTATTTTGGTTATTTTACTTTATTGAAAATATTTTTTAATAGGGCCAGTTTAATAGAGGATTGGACGTCCAAAATTTGGTATCAAAATAGTTTATAGAACAAAAATAAAAAATAAAATAGTGGAGAGACGTGACATTGTGATTGGGGCAATCTTAGCCGTCCATTCAGAATGGAGGCCGAAATGCTCATCGACTCTACAGCTCCCTATCAAATCTTTTCCTTCATGGACGGATACTCCGGGTATAATCAGATAAGGATGGCGCCCGAAGATGAAAAGGCCACTGCATTCTTAACTCCAAAAGGGGTCTTTTGTTACATAATGATGCCTTTTGGATTAAAGAACGTTGGTGCCACATATCAGATTGGCTCTCCCAGTTATTGTTAACTTTTTTGTGCAACAAACTACTGGATCAATTATAAAATCGGTTATGTGTTAACTAATTTTAGTTTGATGATGTAAATTTGACGCATTTTTTAAAATAGTAAATATGACGCATCTATAATCAAATCTACATCATCCAAAATTCCAAATAAAATAGATGATGCAGATTGATGCAAGGGAAGTTTTTCAAGTTAACAGTAAGAGACGAACAATTTAACACCTTATAAGTTTTTATTTAATATCAAAAACTCCATAAAAGAGCACGAACTTGAGTTGAAATGGTTGTTAAGGGTCTAAGTATTAAGTAGTTTCATCTTTGATAAGTATTTTGATAAATTTCCCTTAGTATGGCCTTACTAGAAGTAATGTTGCAACTTTATGTAAACTTTTCCCTTGTGAAATACGCTTGGAATAGAAATTTAAAAAGCTTTGGATATTTAACTCGAGGGTTCATATGAAAAATGTACTAATCTTTTTGAAATGAATAGCAAAGAATCAGCTCATAAATTTTTTGGGCAAGCTTTCTATCTTCCACCTACATCATAAACTTTCTCATATATAATGGTCATATTATTGTTTCTTTGTCTTGATTTTCAGGGATTTACATAGACTAGAAAATTATACAATTTCTTCGAATTTGAGATGATATTTGATTTCTTTCAAATATATCCTTTAGATTGTGATTTAGGTAATGTGTTGGTCGACTGGCATTGCTACTCTACAACTCCAAATATGCAGCTGCCCAGGCTGTCATGGCTGGTCTAGAATTTATGGGTTTTTTTAATAATGTAATATTTGAAATCTTGGCCATGTCAATTCGGATTCGGCTTCGACTAGTGGCCGACGGGCTCCCATGTACCCACTCGAGTACATGGGAAAGCGTATAGTACTTGGTGCGAGTATTGTACGGATTTGTCCCAATACTGTAGAATTTGGTATGACTCGCCCAAGTACTAGAATACCCAAGAGAGTCTACTTACTCGCCCAAGCATCTGCCCTCCCTCTTTAGAAACTTCACTATAATAGCGCCGAGTTGAGTCTATTTTTTCTTCTTTTTTTTTCCCGATATGTTAGAGTCATTTTAAGCCGTTGCTACAAAATCACTCGATCCAACTACAAGCATTAGATCTGAAAAAAATATATTATATCTTTCACATTTTGAAGATCGAAAAGTGGAGATTTTTTCTCCCAAAGTTTTGTATTTCTTTGTTTTCAATTGCCGATATTTGATGAGAATCAAAGCTTAGATCATTTTTACGTTTTTTATCGATCCATAGGCTAGTTTCTCCACAAAATGTCAAATACTTCAACGATAAGCTGCATTAAAATCCACTTGGGTCTATTCTTATTACTCCGGTTGATAACGTTTAGTGAATCACCTTCCACAACCGAACATCCCCTGAATTTCCTCTCCATAAACATATTTAATCCTTGCAGTATTGCACATGGTTCCGCCTTATTAACAGTAGCAAAACCACTAGGTCGTCAGTATTTTGTTCGTACTTTTTTGTATTAAGATATGGAGTTGGGGGGGGGGGGGGGACTAATCCAGTTCTTTACCGTAATCAGGAGGCAGTTTGATTTAGAGGTTTCCTTGGAGAATTGGGCGATCTGGATTTGTTGAATTTCCTTGTCCTTATCCATTTTACTTTTTTAATATTTATTTCTTAATTATTTTAGAATATAAAACAAGATTTGCATTTAGCGTTGGTATTGTGTCCATGGATGCTTAAAAGGTGCACACGCACATTTCAATGGTTCAGATTGAACCTTGCTCGTCCAAGTGTCAATAATGAATCTCATTTTTTTAAAAAAATTTATTAATATGAAATTTTGGTATTAGGTTTATTTTTATAAGTAAGATCGAATGGATTAGTAAAAAAATATTTTGAATAAAAAATATTGACCAAAATACATTTAGACGTATATTGGTTATATTTTATTTAAAATATTGTTTAACCATTATTTTTTTTGTTATATTTATAAAAATACACCTACATTTCATATTATTTAAATAAAAATAAAAAATATAATAGAAAACTATTTCTCGACTGTTTGAAATGGCCATGTGAGATCTCAACCATTGAAAGGGTGCTTGTCACCCTCCCACCCGTTCTCATCATGCGGAGGGGAAACTTTTCCTTGTATTTAAATCCATCCGGAAGATATGAGTTATTTTGGAATCTAAATTTCGGATTCTTTGTAATTCTTTTAAGGCCTGTTTGGGTATATGGATTTAAAGGCATGGATTTCGAATATCTTGAATATTGCAAAATCCACAGTTTTGAGTACTTAATGACTAGGATACTTAAAATCAAGAAAATCAAAATCATGGAAATAAGACCTATTTTTCCATGATTTCATTTCCATACCAAAACCTGTTTTTTTTTTTAATTTCTAAGGCCCATAGCTTTCACTCATTGGCTGCCTAAACCCGAAACGTAGGGAACATTTGGTAGGTATGAAAATTTTAGAAATAGAAAGTACCTAATTTTTTTAAAAGAGAAACTATCTCAAAATTTTGAGAGAGATAAATTATCTCGAAGTTTAACTTTGAGAGAGACAGAGTATGTTAAAAATTTAAAGAGAGAAAATATGTTAAAATTTTAGAGAGAGAAGATATCAAAATTTTCTAGAGAGATAAACTATCTCAAAATTTTAAGGTTTAGAGATAAATTATCATATTTTAGAGAGAGAAACTATTTCAAAATTTTTAGAGAGAAACAATCTTAAAAATTTTAATTTTTAGAGAGAGAAACTATATGAAATTTTTAAAAAAGTATCTAAAAAGTTTAGAGAGAAACTATCTCAGAATTTTTAGAGAGATAAACTATATATCAAATCTTAAGTTTTAGATAGAGTATTCTTAAAATTATAGAGAAAGAAAATATTCTTAAACTTTTAGAAAGAAGCTGTTATAAATTTTAGAAAGAGAAACTGAAAAAACAAAAATTTAGAGAGAGAAGTAGTTTTTTAGAGAGAGAAAGTATCTCAAATTTGAGTTTTAGAGAGAAACTATATCGAATTTTGAGTTCTAGAGAGATAAAATATATTAAAAACTTTATAAATCGAAATTATATAAATTATTAGAGAAAAAAATTATCTCTAAAATTTTTTAGAGATAGAAACTATTAAAAACTATCTCTAATTTTTTAAACTTTTTAAATTTTTAAAATTTTTTTAATAGTTTTTAATTTTTTTTAAAAAATTTCAAGGTACTTGTTAAATTTTTTTTAAAATTTATAATTTCAATATAGTTTTTAAAAACTATGTCTAAAAACTAAAAACTATGTGTAAAAACTATCTTGAAATTAAAAAAATTAAAAAAAATTTAGGTAGTTTTTAAAAATTTAGTTTTTAGATAATTTCTAAAAAATCAAGATAGTTTTTAAAAACTATTTTTAAAAATTTTAAAAATAAAAATTATTAAAAATATCTGATTAACCATTCCAGTTCAATTTTACGAACACGGTAGAAATGCAGTCCAATCGGGATGAAACAATTTTCCTAATAATAATTAATGAAAAATCAAGAAGTTCAATACCAAATTTGTGGTCGGCGTACACTTTCGCGCCGCCCCAATGTTTGTATGTTATCCGAATGAAAGGGAAAGGTTTGGGTGTATCCTCGGCTTCAGTCCCACATTTTTTAAGTCCATTTGGGGAATGGTTTGAGGAAGTAAAGCAACAGAGACCTTCATGATCATGGATATGAAAAGAAAATGAACTTCCACATTAAATACCAGTCCATCTTGCATTTTTTTTTTTGAGACCATTTGTTTTTATTTATTATAATTGTCAAACCAAATTTATACTATTGTTGAAGGGACACGGTCTCCTTGGGCCCAAGCCCGCATATGTAGAAATAGGGGTTTTTTAATAAATCGATTTTTTAAATAGATTTTAATAATTAGTTTTTAAAGACATGTAATCTCTAACATTGAGATCATGAATATGGAAAAAAAAATAACTAAAAAATTATGAATAATAATTATAGTAAGAAAATATTTGGACTGTTAGTTTTCATTATTTTTAGATGAAACACCTACTTGCATCCATCTTTAAAATGGATGCTTTGCACTTTTTATAAATGCAGTCCAGCCCGCATGAAACAATTTTTTTTTTTTAATATCTTTGCTTAGTAAAATTTAAACGGTACGGTTTGTATGGCACGACCGTAAACCTTTAAATAGTATCAATAAATAAATATATTTTTATCTTTAATTATAAAATTTAAAGCTTCAAAAATAATGTAGACCGAGCACATATATGAAAACTTGAAAATTGATGATCCAAAAAATGTCACATAATGCACTACTTTCAAAAATTATTATTATTATTTTTATGTCTATACTTGATTGATGTGGAGATGATCAATTTGAAGATATTTGAACATCAAAACAAGCTTATTTTTAGTGAAAATTGTGAATGGGGCTCTAATTTGATTGTTTAGAGCCTGTGCTCTGTACAAACTTTTTACAAACTTAAAACACCCATTTTCCAGAATAACGGCTGTTGACAACGTAATAAAGCGGCGATGACTTTAAGTCGTTAACTGCTTTTGCTGACTAAATTTTAAAGGTAAAAGTTTATATAGGGCCGAGGCTCTAAACAATCAAAATTGAGCCTACCTCAAAAATTTTATTAGAAAAAGTTATTTTGATCGTCAAATACCCTTAAAATCATCATCTCGACATCAAGATGCATGGACATGAGAAAAAAATGGATTTCAAGTTTTGGAAATAGTACATTTTGTAACGCATTTTTGGACGGTCAATTTTCAATATTTTCAAATTTTCATATATCTGTCTATCTACACTATTTTTTGAGCCTTTAAACTTTATAAATAAAGTTGAAAATATATTTTAAGACCATCACTAAGATCTTCAGTATTAAAACCATAATTCTCGATACTATTTGAAATAGGCTCTAATTTGATTGTTTAGAGCCTAGGCTCTATACAAACCGCACCCAAATTTAAATTAATAAAATGATTGAGAACAGGCAAGGACAAAAATCCATGAACCACAAAAATAGTGAAAAATCAGCGAAGCTATAAACGATGAGAACCACACTGAAAAAACTCTCTCTCTCTCTCTCTCTCTCTCTCTCTCTCTCTCTCTCTCTCTCTCTCTCT